TGAGGATTTGCTGCTTATATGTATATTTTCTATAAGTGCGATAGAAGTATAGTTGAGTTTTCTGGACCCTGTTTTGGGGTTTTTGTCAAGCCGACCTGGACTTGTGGGGAGAAAAAGAATCTGATCGGCAGGGCAGACCAAATGTTATTGTTATTATCACAGTGATCCTTTGAGTGTATTTTTACTTTCCACTATGCAATGTGGGTTGTTGCTTCTTTGTGCTTTGGTGAGAAGCAACAACAAAGAAGCTTTATACATGCCTGACCCTTTGTAGCTCTTCAGTGTCAGTGCATTCTGACCTCTTGTCAAACCGGCCCATGTCTCTGCTAATTCCCCACCCGCCTATGTATCCCTGCCCCTCTGTTAGCACCCTGCTGCCCCTGGCACTCAGTGCCACACAGACACCTGTCCTCATTAGTCCATGCATGCCTGCCAGTCCCCGCCCCCTCACCCCAATCAAGCCTCACTGTGTGCTTTTTTTCAGGGTTGGTGGTTTTTCATGACCTTTCATGATTTGCCTGTACCCATCTGACTGGTTTACTCTCACAATGACTCAGTCGAGTCACAAATTCTGACTTGTTGCAGACACGATTCAAGCATCTCTGTTCTATTCTTATCTCCTTAATTACACATTTTCACTTTACCTCAACTTAACTGTGCTGCCATTTTTCCCAAGCTGCTTCTTACTTATTTATCCCCCCCACCACCACCGCCAACAGAACAATGACAACGAGACACCGCTGCACTGTGCCGCCCAGTACGGCCACTCTCGGGTGGTGCGGCTGCTGCTGGAGGAACTCACTGATCCCACCATGAGGAATAACAAGTTTGAGACTCCGCTGGACCTGGCGGCACTGTACGGCCGCCTGGAGGTTGTCAAACTGCTGCTCAGTGCCCATCCTAATCTGCTCAGCTGCAACACCAAGAAACACACGCCACTACACCTTGCCTCTCGCAATGGACACCTACCCGTAGTGGAGGTGTTACTAGATGCTGGAATGGACATTAACTATGAGGTATGTGTTGTTTTTATTTTTTCTGATGTATATTTACTTATATATTTCTTTTTACTGAAAAACTTCTGTTTGCAAATGTTTCTTAACATACTTTCATGGCCCAAATCATGTTAGGCAACTTAATCTGTCCTTGCAGCACTTCCTCTTGCTACTTCCTACTAAAGCTATGAGATTAAATGTAAAATTCTTAAGCTCTCAGTTTGTAAAGGAACTGTTGTAGTAAGGCCAGCGCAAAGCAGAGCTGGCCTTGCTCCCCCTGGTGGGCCCTAGAGCTCTGACTCTGTATCAAACTGTGCCACCCGTCTGTCTGGAGATCCTTTCTCTGTCCTTCTTTTCCTCTGAATAAAAGATGTGGAGGCTATTCAGCTTCCTTTAGGCTCTGCATCCGGCAGGGCTTTAATTAGCATGGCCCTGTGAGCTGGAAAATGATCTGCTTTGATTTCTCAACCACATAATTGTCAGTTCAAGAAGTGGACCAAGTAGTGGGCATGAATCCACACAACATGCGCTACGTATTTTACTAAAGTGTTGGTGCTGGAACAGAACTGCTATATTCTGTAGTCTAATTTTTTGGTAATAACATAGGAAATATTAAGAACTTCTGTCTATTATGTTTCTAATAAATTCGTATGCTTTTTCATTTTCTTTCCTGCTCAGACAGAGAAAGGCAGTGCACTCCACGAAGCCGCTCTGTTTGGGAAGACTGATGTGGTGCAGAAGCTTCTCTGTGCAGGTCAGACCTTAGAGCGCTAAATCTACATAACTTCCACGTATTTAGGAAAAACACGTACTTAGCACACGACTGTTACTGTTGTCGTTTCCCAGGGATCGACGTGAACATCGTCGACCAGAAGGGCCTGACAGCGCTGGACATTGTCAAGGACATGCCCTCTCAGAAAAGCAAACAGATAGCTGCCCTGATCCTTGGTAAAGACCAAATGAGCACATACAGAGCTCCAGTGGGCTCTCTTATTTATATCACATGAAACAGCTGCGATACAATCTCCTATTTGTTCCAGGTCATATGACTGGAAAACCCCCTGATATTGACCTTCCCCCTCCACCAGTGCCTCCACCTCAAGAGAGCCCGAGCCCACGGAAAAAGGGTAAGATTTATCAGGAGTCTCCTGTGAGAGATAGTGGGTGATTTTTACCTTCACAGCAGCAAATCTTTAAGCAGAAGAAAAAAACCACTGTGCAGGAAAGTATGACAATAGTTTACCTATTACTTTGACATGAGAACTTGTTTTGGCTTCAATCTTTATCCGTTTTGACTTGCAGGTGACCTGGAGAAAGTCTGTGAGCTAATCTCGGGGCTGGCCCTGGGGCCCGAGGAGGAGAGCCCTTATGAAGCTCTGTTTGAGGCCACTTCTTGCCACTCTTTAGACAGCCTCACCAGTGGGAAGTCCTCTGACAGAGACTCGGGAAGGCCTGATAGTGAAGCTGGAAAGGTCAGCAGTTTCTGATCTGTTTTTTTTTTTTTTTAAAAAAAAAATGTTTTTAGTTGAAACCCATCTCACTCTTATACATACCAAGACAGAGGGAGGCACTGAAATGCTGAACTCCCACTAGAGGGAGATGGTGATCCTCTCTTCTTATGACAGTGCTACAAAAATCCACCAGTGTTACTTCTCTTGTGTTTCAGTGTAGGTTTGCATGCCATCTTTTAATACTGATAATGAATTGATTACTTTTTTTATTACATCTTGTATTGCTGACATACAGAAAGATCGCTTGGTTCTCTCGTCACATCCTGGCCCTGGTAATGAAGAGGAGGTGAGCTCAGAGGTAAGGAAGTAAAGCTGTATTCACATGGTGATGGGGGTCTAGTGATAGCTGTGGACATCATCTATGATCTTAATCCCATGCAAATCAACCACTGAATATGCTTTTTAAAGAAAAAAAATGTACATATGCAAATTTGGATAGTTTTTAAGGAGAATTTGGATAAATGCACAACATGGATGACCATTCATGAGATGAAATTGTTAGCTTGCATTGTACGAATTGGTAAGAAGCATTTTGCTGTCTTTCATTAGGCTCACAATTATCTGGCAGGATATTAATAGTAGCATTACACAGACACGAGAGGGCATGACTTGTAAATCACATCAAGTCCCCCTGGTAATACAAATTCTATGCGAATAGGTCAGAGGTCATACAGCCAGCAGAAATGGTTGCCATTTAACGCCACAGATTCTCACACGCGCACTTGTAGCTGTTTGCAAATGGTTGTGACAGACTACTTTTAAAAGTTAATGCCACTGAAAAGTTAGACACGTTTTCTAACACTGTGACACAGGGGCTGCTGGGAAAATAACAATCTGTCACTGAGGATGCCAGTTTCATTTTAGCTACCACCCTTTTCATTTCCTACAACGCTGCTGCTCCGTTCAAATGGCTTCTTAAGAAATGCTCAGCTGAGTGCCGAGTGGAGCACATGTAATAGGAAAGGGGGAACTGGAAAAGGCAGCGTCCGAGAACAGTTCTGGTCTAAACCGTTGCTGATCATAGTGGGCATATTGTGGATGTTTCACGAAGGGTTTCCTATTGTAAACAAATATTTTCACACAACTGCCTCGTAATTTCTAACCTGCTACTTCTTTTTCACCTTTAATCCTTTGACTTTTCTGCAGGCCCTGTATACTAGCAGCAGTGCTGATGAGAAAAGGGAGCCAGCGGAGGAGGAGGATCACACATACGAGTTGTTGCTGACTGCAGAGACAAAAATCCCACCACCACCAAGCCATGAGCCCCACTCATATAAAGGTAATTGTGTTTATTCAGTACAAAAACAACAAGTAACATTTCGAAAAGGCATATTTTTCCAGCAATTCTTTTTGTTCGTGCTTTACGAAGATATTTCTTGGTAAAATGCAGTCACTCTACCTTGTTATATCTCCATATAAATCAGGAGGTCCTTCGTTCCTGACATGAATATCTCTCAGGCTCTTTTGCTGCCGTTTGATCGCAACAGAGCCTCAGAAGACCCTCCTCAGTTGTGGCTGCTGAATGGCACTGCATGTAATTGGATTAAATGGGATTAAATTAGGAGGCAATTTTGATCCCTAGTTGTTGATGTAGATGTTTTAAAACCATACCCTTGGGACCTTTCAGCTTAGTCAGCTTGACTATCACCCAAAGAAAACTGGGCTGAAGTGTTGGAGTCTAATCGCGGATGTCATCGGGCCTTCCCGATGGAAATGATGGTGTTATAAAAAAAGAATAACTTACTGTGGGTTTTTTGGGAGGAGGGGGTTGTTGAATTGGACAGAAATGTTAAATGATTAGTTTTTCATCCGTTATAAAACTGCTCTATCATGTCTCCGTACTCGGTGCTGTTTAAAAGGCAGGAAGATTAATCTGAAGTCTGTCTGACGCTTAGACCGATAATGGCGGCATGCATAATACATGACTTTATTATCCATCACTTTGACATTCTCAGCGTAATGTCTCTCCTGAAAGTCAGAACCAACAATGGATTTTCTGTAACTCTTAGTTAACCAACGTTTGTTTTCTTGTCTCCTTAGATGACAATACCACTATACAGTCTTCCAACAGTGTCCTACCTCAGGTAAACTCTTTTGTTCATGTCCTATAACTGCTTCAAAAATAGGTTGCTATTTGAATACTAAAATTATAGGATTGTATGTATGCTGCACTGTATGTGGAAGTATTCTACTATGAGTTGTGAAAAGTAATTCGGTCACTAGCCCAAGCATTGTAGACCATCGTGCGCTTGTGGAAGTAAAAATGACAGAACTGCTTCAAAGCATCATATCAGCCCTGACGTTACTTCTGGTAGGCCGAAGATTCAAGCTGAGCCAGCAGCCCTGTATGACAGTACGAGTCCCACATGCACAGACAGAGTTAACTGGTGGTTTTCAGTTGGTGGTAGATGTGAGGTGGACAAAGCATACATGGAATTAAAATCTACATGAATGTAGTAGTAAAATATGACCAGTCTGGTCCATCCATTGATGCCTGTCTGATCTGTACGAGGGCTCAACATGTATACATGTGGAAAGGCATGAAGCTTGCCAGATATATGTAACTGCAGAGGAAATAACAATCCTACTTTGACTAAAGTGGTCCTGACAGAATGTTTGAGAAATTATACTGTATAAAAATGCATGATTACAGCTGATGATAATCTGTCTAATTTGTATATAAGTAGTATCTGGAGGGTTTTTTTGGTTTGACAACAAGCTTCCTATATACTGGTTTGAATAGTGAATGAGTGGATAATTTTTGACCCAACCCAAGTGATGATAGCAGGTCTTAAAATTAAGATGGTGGTCTCTTCAGAGTCAGAAACTGAGTCATATGTTAGCAGAAGGCAGAAGTCATCTTAAACGGCCCCTGATAATAGTGCGTCTTAAATGTTGTAAATCTGCCTACTTTATTTATTGCCATTGTCTTTTTTCATTGCCCTTTGATATCTATCATCCAGTTAGCAGCATTTTATTATTGCTGTCAGCCACCTCTACAGCCCCTCTGCTGCACACAGTATATACTTGTGTCTTAATTTGCAAGCCCCAATTAAGTTGGCTGTGCTTCTGACCTGCCTGATGATAATAATCTTATAGTCGTCTGTGGTTTCATCTGCAGTCTCCTGAGCTCAGCTACACCGTAACTACTGTAAGGAAACATGCTACCACGATTATAATGCAGTTGATCAGGGAGGGTATGTCTTCAGGATAATAAGCAGGATAATTAGGCTTTTAGTTATTTGCTAACTGGGCTTCAGACCAGCTACTATGATTGTTTAGAATCACAGAAAATGTTTCTATCATCTGTTCTTTCTTGCTGTCCTACTTTAGCATAAACCTTCTGCCCCGAACAACCTTAGAGCCCCAAGTAAGACGAAAGACACCTTGCACCCTCCAGGAAGAGTGGGCCCAGGGGCGCTGGGAGGTGAGTACGGTCAATGTCCTCACGTTTTAGATACCTAATAAGGTACAACTGCTGCTGGTAAAGCTGCGTGAGGGTAAGGAAAGATGGACCTGACACATCAGACTTGGAAAATTACAAGCCAAGCATGTCAATGAAATAGGAGAAATGCATCTCAGTTTGATGCATTTGAGATAGGCTGGCTTGGATTAGCGCAGCCGGGGAAGTGCACGATTGGTATTCTCGGGCAGCAGAGGGGATTTGGCTCGTCAGGGGCAGGTTGACTGACATTCGTTGGCAAGTGGGTTAGACTAGTTTCATTGCCAATGGGAAACTGAATTCTTGATCAGATCGTGACATTCCTATCTTAGATCCACATCCCCGCCTAAAGCTGGATATGCCACTTCATCCAGTCAGGCACAGAGCAGAGATGAGGCGTATAGCTGCTGGGTTTTTGCTGATACATATACAGATGTCTTCATTGAATAAATTGAGTTTTGGCACATGTTTGGAAATAACTTGCAAAGAGAAGCCAGTTAGGCTTCTCGAGTTATTTTTATGCAATTTCGCCACGTAAAAAATTATTGGCCAGCTGCAGTAACATTAGTCTGTCTGTTTGGGACTTCTTTGACTTAAAATAAACACAAATTGGAAAACAGAAAATAAGAGTGTGATCTTATTTGTTATATTTGGTTATATGAATTGGAAATACATTTTTAGCATCTATTCAGTGTTTCTGTTGTGTCACTGTTCCTCTTTGAGTTGATGTAAAAAACCACTGAACAGCTGGCCCCTCAGATGGTTAACTGTAATGAGTAACATTAAAATGTTATTAATTTTCTACAAGAGCGGTAATTCTTTTTTAACAAAGCTCAAGGTTTTGCAACTCTAGTTTAAAACACACGGCAAAATGTTGTTCATTTCATTTTTTTTTTTGGTTCCTTTTTATATTTAGGAACTCTAAAGTTTTTCTCTTCATTTCATTTGTCAAAACCACCAATTTGGTTGCTACTTAAATAACCCTGTCTCTGACCTGTTTCCTCTTTACTTTTTGAGGTTTTGCAGATCAGCCACTCAAACCTGGTTCCTATTTTATGTATTACATAAACCCAGGCAGTCGGCGGAGCCTAAATATTTAGCTTTGTTCATGTGGATGTGATCTTTCTTGTAACTTATGTGGTCTATGGACGGTCAGTGACCAAACCTCAGCAATCTCTGTGGCAGGTGGAGGACAGATGCCGAGTCAGCGATATATGGTGTTTAGTGTCTGTCTTCAAACACATTCCTCCTGCTCTCAGCAGCAATCCACATTTTCGCAACAGACCTGCTGCTGATGTATTATAGCGTTTCCAAAGCAGTACCTGTAAGATCAGAAGTTTCTCCACAGATTATAATAAAAGAATAATAATAATACATTTTAAAAACACCCATTTAACTTAAATATTACGCTGTTATGAGCAACGTTGGTGAGGAAATAAACCTCAAAGTATACATGCTGTTCCATTAGTTCACAACCAGAGTGCAGTGTGTTTTCTGTAGTTTTGATACTTAGCTAAACTTGTTTGTGCTGCTTTTATGAACTGTAGCACATCAAAGGATAGATGTAAGGAAGTTAAAGACAGAAAGCACCTGTGTGTTTGTCACACTTCTTCTGCATCATTATATATGATGCTATGTGGAGCCCAACCGATCGGTGGGGCCGATTATATTGACTGATAAATAATAACTAAAGGAGGGATGGGAGAAACAGCCTTGAACCATGTAATAGGTGTTGATGTTGTATAGTTTGTCCAGGGGTGGGCACTTTGCAGTGTATAAAAATATATTTTATGGGGAGGCTCATTGCGCTGCAGTGAGTTGAATATGATCAAATGATGTACTTTAATACAAATGTCCCCATGTCAGTAAGATCGCCTTAGTACCTTGTAGCTGTGCTGCAGTGCACTACCAAGAGTTTAAAATGTCTTTGAAACTCAAACAAAAACAGTGCAGGTTTTCCAGGGACATATGGATTGACTTTTGATTGTGTAGCTAGTGAAGTAACAACCAGCACTGATTCCACAGCATCTGCAATCCAAACATGACATCATCTGGGCGATATGGAGCTGTCACTGCCAAATGAAATAAACACCCCACGTCTGTGGTGACTTCACCCAATACAAAAGAGTTGTAAAAACATCAGATTGCATGTGTGCATGTTTTCCATCCTAGAACTGTATAGAAAGGGGCTCCGGTGGTCTTTGCAAGGGTTAACACCACGTGAGTTTGTTGGAAGCACATGGATGTGATCATAGGGCGTTCACGCTCCCTAGCTGCCAAGGAGAGGGTGGGTGTTTGGCTGTGATCTTGACATATGTGTGCAGTACACTCACTCACCCACACACAAAACACCCCCCAACACACACACACTTTTCCTAAGCTTGTGAAAAGGGAGTTTAGGGTGTTGTTTGGCACACTCCCTCTCTGGAAAAGATCCCTGAAATAGTACTGAGGTAGTTTGGTGTAGATAAAACTCTTTCACAGCCTGCTGTTTCTTTTTTAATTCTCTTCCTATACTGATAAAATGACTGCACTGGGCACATTTTTGGCAGGAAGCTGTTTTGTGAAGGACAAACAAAGTGCTGCAACAGGTCACTACTTTTCTTGTGGTGTCTCTGCCCCAGATTCCCTGTCACCAAACACTCCTGACCCTTGTCACCCTGGCAGAGACCACACAAGCCCACACACTCCCGCACCATGTGTCACGGGACTAATTATCAGAAGTCTGGCTGCTGGAGGACGGGGTGATTCAAATTTCCATTCCTCGCCCTCCGTTAGGCGCTAGAATTAGAAGCTAGAAAACACAGAGGGCGCACACTTTAAACAACAAAACGCATCACTGCAGTTGAAGAAGACAGGCTCGGCACGAGTTAGGTTTTTTCTTTTACCCTCAAACCAACATATCGATTACAACAGGTACTATCAAGCTGTGGCTGATTTGATTGTGGAAAACAGGCTTAGGTGGCAGTAAGTCCTTGGGAGAGGGGAGGAGGAAAAAATCTCCTTGTTCTTTGTTGCACTTGCCATTGAGTCTCATTAAGGAGTCGTTTTTGTTGGAGAAGACGGCAAACAGTAAGTTTCACTCCTCTTTGTGATATTTGTTGTGTTGTATTCATTTTTCTCTGGCATACACTCTTGGAATTTATGTGTAGGTTTGTTTGAAAGTTTAGTTTAGTCAGAAACTCTGGGACATTCTCAGTGTTATGTCATTTTAGGAAAACAGGCCTAACAGACAAGTAGGCCTCTGTGATGAGGCTGCTCACAGAGATGACTTGCTTCAACTCCCTGTTGCAAAATACAGGCATTCAGGCACCAGCAGATAGCTGTCAGACGGCTACAAGCTGAGTTTGGAATTCAGGAGTCATTTCTCCAGCCAACATACGCCTTCTCTTTGCTCCATCTCTTCTCTCTCCCCCTTTTTCTTTTCGTCACTCCTGGTAGGAAACAATTACAGATCTGTTTCAGGGCTTGTGTGGGTGGTTTCTTATTAGCCACACTGTAAGGATCAGCCCCTCAGTTGGAAGTCTACTTTCCAGCCCTCACAGGCTGCTTTCCTTCTTCACTGACTTTGTCTATTCCCTTTCTCTTTGTCTAGATAACTCACAGCTCAGCCAGGACCAGGAAGCAGGTGTACCAGAGCAGTTCACAGGCCTCCTACACGGATCTTCTCCTGTCTTTGAGAGCCGTGAGGAGTCCTTCCGGCTTCCAGGTGTTCTGCCACACAACCAAGACCAGCCAGAAACAAAAAAGAGGGCCAAAGCTAAAGAGGGAGTAACGGCAGCTGCACCGCCACCTAGCCGTCCTAGTATGGCCGCCATCCTGACAGACTGTGATCCAAAAGCAATTTATGCTACTGTGAACAAGGAGCCCAGGGACTCGGTGGCTGGTGCTGTATCTGCTGTCAAGATGCGCCCTCCTGGGGACCTGAAGCTGGCACGCAGCCTGTCCAAGTCTGACTCAGACTTGCTCGTGTCGCCTCCTAATGAAGAGGAAGGAGGATTGGGAAACCGTAGCGAGTCTGTTTCTAACTGTAGCACGGCTAAGAAGAGACTTGAGAAATCTCCCTCTTTCACCTCAGAATGGGATGAGGTAAGTGTTTCCGCTTGAAATATTTAAGACACACACACACACACACGGGGGGAAAAAAAACAGGCTTTAGTGTGTGTATGGTTTGTGCATGTACAACCAATAATGCAGGCCAATAAATAATAATTACATGTTTCACAGATGTTTAATATGAATAAAGGTGACCTTTTTCACACTAATGTAACTGCAAGGTAGCAGAGTGACAGCAGGTGAAACCACAGACTGTATATTAAAGATGGATGTAGCCACCGTGACATCAGTCACCGGTTTCTGGACTCTGCACTTTGAAGCCTCGGTGTTAGTGTTTAGGCTGTTGCCATGTTATTGCCATAACCTGCACAGGTAAAAGGCACAGACACGTGGATGTGCTAGGTAACAGACTCATTCATTATTAGAAGAATTTCACTCATCCCAATTGTAACGTGTAAAAACAAACCTAATCTGGAGATCTTTGTTTTTAAAACATTTATCATAAATCCCATTCGATGGAAACGATTAATATTATGTGCATAAGGTTAATATAGTTCTAAAATGTATTGACATTGACATTATTGGACACGGTTTTTAAGGAAGTACAAAAGTTGACTTGTTTTGTTTAACAATGCCCGCCTGATGTCTCATCATGCAATTTAGGTCAAAACTTCTCTGGAACATAAACTTTTTGGCAAAACAGTAAATGATAGAATATGTCTTTGCACATATTTGCATTAGTACATTTCTTTTGTTAAAAAACTGCAGTGTATAAAAATATTTTCAGAATTCTGTTTAAAACTTTTTTCTTTTTTTTTTTTTTTAAATTTGTCTCAATCCCGCTATGTGTTAGTATCACAGAGCATATTCACATCTAAATATATTCCCCGTGCATGCAGCGCTTTAATGTTTTTTCTGGGATGTAGATAAAGAGCTGAGTAGAGACACAGCGGGAAGAGATTAGAGAAGACAAGAAGATGGGGATAAAACAACTGAGAGACTGAAAAAATAAGACAAGAGACAGAGATTTGAAAATTGAGATTCAGAGAAGACGTGGAAGCCGTAGATCCGTCTCTTCGGCTCTTGCCTCCTCCTGTTGTAAAGACGTGAAACTCCGACCTGAATCTCTGTAGAGACTGACAACCCATCAGAACACAGAAAAAACACACAGCTAAACAAATACAGTATAGAACCCTTCCTTTTCAGAGTTTGTTAGATTTTACTCTTTTAAGAAACACAAGTTACCAAGAAGGTATAAGTTTTATAAACCTTGGTTTGTAGTATTGCAGTCATTAAACAGCCACACGAGATACAGCTGGCATGGTTTCCTCATTGGCTCTTTTACCATTATCCTAAAACAATCATCTTATTGTTGGCAGAATTAAAGAAATCCTCTGTAAGCTTCTCAGTTAAGTTTTGCATAAGCTGTCCACTAGCCTCAGTAATTCTCCCTTGTTCTGCTTGTGTTCTGCTCCATTCATGTTACTGATAACTGCACTGCTACACACAGTCCAGAAGTGACTTGTACGTTTTATTTGTGATGCATGTCCATCCTGAGGAAATCGCAGGCTCAGATAGCACTAATGCTTTCTCTTCCCACAGTGAGGAGCTCATGTTGCTGCCTAGTGTTCCTTTACATGACCCTCTCAGAACAACCACAGTGAGCTAATTGCAGATTTGAGGTCGATGTCTTGGCTACTGCGGGCCATGGCTTGCATGCAGGTGGTCAGTTTTTAGACACTGCCAACTTATGCCACCGATACAGTAATTACACTGTGGTGTGCTGCGATTCTGAAGTTTTTACGAATCTCTTTTTTTCTGTTCATGTGTGAGACTCCACGCAAGCAATCTGGATTATGCGTCATTGTTGCAACCAGTGCAATTTATGTCCTCGTCATTCGATGCTGGTATGTGACTGTTGTCTGACAAAGTCATACTTTCTTATTTGACAGTGTTGTGCTACCATAAAGTGCCAGATGTTGTGTTGATGTTGCTGCAGTTTATTGCTCACTATTAGATCATGATAAAAAAATATGGCACCAGCCCACAGAGGGGATACTGTAGTTCAAAACATCTTTGATGTGCATTTATGGAAGGAACAGACACGATATTGGCTCTATATGGAAATACTGCTGTCAACACTTTCATCTTTAGCTGCTTTGGGAAGGATAGCGGCCCGAGGCCTTGTACATGTGCTTTATCCAAGTTCAACAGGCTTTTCTATCATGAGAAAGATCACAGCTGCCTTCCACTGTGGTCATATGACTCATTCTGGGATAACCTTGCTGTTGAGCTTTTATGTATGGGAGCACTCCAAAGAGGGTTTGTTCTTGAGCTATTTCAGCATTTGCAGGCATTACTTTAGTTTATAGTTTTGTCAAAGGCTGCCAAGGAAACACTCGTGGAAAATGACTGACCTTTGGTATTCGTCTGTATGCAGCCGAGTGAATGCCTCGCCTCGATTCAAGTGTACTAGACCATGTTTTCGCAGCTCTAGCCAGTAGGAACTGTTCTGTAATATCCTGAACACTAAGTGAACACTTACCTGCTCTCTTATTCACAAGGGGTCACCACAGTGGATGGATCCACAGACTTTAAATTATTGACACAATCCTCAAGGATTTGTGCCTCCTGCTACTCTTAAACTGGTGATCCTTCGTGTGTTAGGCAAATGTGTTAACCACCACACTATGGTAATGCACTGATTTGATCAAGTATTGTAAGTGTATTACTATGTGACTTTAACTCAGTAGTGCAGACAGGTATACTCTGTATTCAGGTTTGTGTATTAAACACAATTCATATTTTAGTTTCGTCTGGATAGTATGTATATAGATAGAGATATATATCTATATAGATATATAGATATATCTATATATCGATATAGATATCTATATAGATAGATCTCTCTCTATAGATATATCTATATAGATATATTGATATAGATAGATCTCTCTCTCTCTCGATATAGATATATCTATATTGATATATCTATATCGAGAGAGAGAGAGATATATCGATATAGATAGCATGCACGGTGGTTAGCACTGTTGCCGCACAGCAAGAAGGTCCTGAGTTCAATTCCAACATCAGGCCGGGGTCTTTCTGTGTGGAGTTTGCATGTTCTCTCCGTGTTTGCGTGGGTTCCCTCCGGGTAATCTGGCTTCCTCCCACCGTCCAAAGACATGCAGCTTGTGGGGATAGGTTAATTGGATAATCCAAATTGTCACTAGGTGTGAATGTGCGAATGAATGTGAGTGTGAATGCTTGTCTGTCACTATGCGTTAGCACTGCGACAGACTGGCGACCTGTCCAGGGTGTACCCCGCCTCTCGCCCTATGACAGCTGGGATAGGCTCCAGCGCCCCCCGCGACCCTGAAAAAGGATAAGCGGAAGCGAATGGATGGATGGATATAGATATATGTATGTGGCAGTTAAAATCTTTCATAAATTCAAGCAAGATGTTTACCAGCCGCAGCCAGACATGACATGAAGAAAAGGTGTTGGGGTGGGTGTGGGTTGCAAAGTAGCTTGCAAATGTATAGCGACTAATAGACTAGATTAGAGGGCTGCTATTTATGTAGCTTAATCAAATGCAAGGCCTTCAGCTGAGCCATCAGGTGATTTTTGTGAGCATTATGGTCAGCTGATTGCAGCTGAGTTTGATTTTTGTGCCGGCCTCAGCTTCTCAATCTCACTAAATGTGGATGTTTTCTAAAATTGGTGTGGTTCCAAAACCTCAGTGATGCTGGGACTGGTGTGACACAATTACAAGATATTATGTAGCAGATGTGGTTTCTAACTTTTAATAGTTACCATTTAACTGGTTTAAACTAACCACTAAAGTCCAAGTTGAAAGGATTATGATTTATTTAAAAAAAAAGACTGGTTAGCAATATATAGGGGCCTATAGAGACGTTTGTTTGTTTTTTGTTTTTTGTTTTTACATAAGATAATTCCATAAACATTCACCAAAAGGGTCCCTTACCAAATGTACTAAATGGGTTGTTTTAGTTTTAAAATCAACATGTCTATGCCCTCTGGTGGGCAAACTGTGCATTATTGTCTCTGATTGTATCATACCTACCTGGCTGCCCAGTTCTTGCAATTTCTGGTTGCTGATTGGCCGACATATATGCACCACCAATTTATACCTGTCGTAACGTAGCATTACCATTTGGATCTAGTGGTATTTTTGTAATTCAGTCACAAACTATGACAAATACTAATGGAAATGTACCATAGCCAAAAGTGTAATGATGACTATTTAAAAGTCAGACATCCAGAGCTTTTGCACATTGTCTTCCTTTTCCAGAATGTGGCGTAGTGGGTAATGAGCTCAATCAAGTTATGTGCTTGGATCTTTTATTTCCCCTTTAAAGTCTGGTCACCGGCAGGGCACTGTTCATTCTAATTATCTAGTTTAATGAACACCTCACCTCCTCAGACTGCACCTGAGGGATGTGGCCCGTGAGAGAGTGACAGGATTAAGCCAGCTGTGACATTACTTGGCTATTGGAGCTTTCTGCTCTTCCTAGATATCCTCAGCAGCTCACAATAATCCTGGAGCTCCCGAGTCCTGTTGTATTCTCCCCAGTGCTTAGAGAAAGATGAAGTAAACAGACTAAACGTGGCCTAAGAGGAGGAGCCAAAACAAACTGCACTTCTTTGGCAGGAGAATAGATGGTGATATTGGTTCCAACCTGAAAAAAATAGCTCTGGTCTGCTAAAAGGAGATGAACTTGAAGCAGTGCCCCCATTTCCTGTATGCACCATGCAAGTGTATTTTACCAAGAGAACTGGGCAGCTTTGAGTTCATCTGAATGTCTGGAAGCTTTTTAAAAAATCGTTAAGTTGGCTGCTGGCAGGGAGCTGCCCTCTGTTAATTTCATTCTTCTCTTGGGAATAAATTTTATTTACTCTCCAGTCATACAGCCAGACACGTAATAAAATTGTTTTAGGGCTCTACTACCTAGACAGTTGACCTTAAAAATATATATACATTTTTTTTCTTTCTCTTTTGCTATCAGTGG